GTCATAAGGACAAAAGAACAAGTTTGTGAGGGCTCCCACTAGATAAATCTGAGACAATCTGAGCACCAAAAATATTAAGGATAGTAATAAATTATCAACTATTGAAAGAAAATAGATAGATACATCAACAGATGGACAGATAAATAGATGGGGGAGAAGGGCTCTTAATTACAGTAAGATGCCAAGTGTTAATTGGAAAATGTGGAGGAGTGCTACTTTTATAAAACTGTTATTTTGAACATAGTAAAAACTGGTTCAGGCAAGCATCATCAATGAATGCTAAATTGTAGGTGATAATTTTGCTGAAAAGCAATCTATACTAATAAAAGGGTAATATGCTAATTAGACCGGATGTCTTCTGGACATCCTTCTGAACAAAGCCGCAGTGACTGCGAGGGCCGAGGAGGGCCGGCAGTGGCAGCAGCAGCGGGGAGATGGGGGCAGCGCCTTTCCCTGATCGGCGTGGTCACCTCCCGCAGAGGGAGGACAGAGGCAGCAGCGGCGGCGGGGTGGTGGGGGTAGCACCTTCCCCTGATCAGCCTGGTTGCTTCCTGCAGAGGGAGGCCAGACTACGGCTTAGGCCTAAGCCATCAGTAGGACATCCCCTGAGGGCTCCTGGACTGTGAGAGGGGGCAGACCGGGCTGAGGGACACCCCCCCCCCAGGGCATGAATTTTCATACACCGGGCCTCTAGTCTATATATATAAAAGCCTAAGAGACCAGATGGCCAGACAACCGGCCAGTAGCTATGACAGGGACTGCCCACCAGGGGGCAGACACTCAATGCAGGAGCTGCTCCCTGGGGGTCAGTGCGCTCCCACAGTGGGAGCACGGGAGCGCCGCTCAGCTGACGGGCCGCTGACTGCTGGCGAGCGCAGCTGCAGCAGCACTAGCCTCTCCTGCGGACACTCCCCCTGCAGGCGCAGCAAGGCCGGGAGTAGCGAGGTGCCCAGCCCAGGCTCAGGCTCCTCCCCAGCCGCCTGCTGCTTCATGCACTACTTTGTGCTGTGTGGGATCAACGTGGACAGCGGGCTGGAGCCTGACAAGCTGGCGGGTGCGCAGAGGTCCACTGATCCCTCCAGGCCAGGCCGAGGGACCCCACAGGTAGACGAATCTGTGCACTGGGCCTCTAGCTTGCTTATAAGATGCAAGGGAAAAAAACTAACTGTAGAGCAGCGGTTCTCAACCTGTGGGTCGCGACCCCTTTGGGGGTCGAACAACCCTTTCACAGGGGTCACCTAAGACCATCGGAAAACACATATATAATTACATATTGTTTTTGTGATTAATCACTATGCTTTAATTATGTTCAATTTGTAATAATGAAATTGGGGGTCACCACAACATGAGGAACTGTATTAAAGGGTCGCGGCATTAGGAAGGTTGAGAACCACTGCTGTAGAGTAATGAGATAACATGAGATAATACCTTAATTGGGTGATCAAAAGTAACATCAATGAAGGGCAGAAGATGTGTACCTCTGGATGTGCAGAACCCTATGGAATACATAATCTAAATCTAATCAGGAGCAAGCATAAGAAAAACCCAAAATGAGAAACAATATATAAAAAATTAAGAGGAATGGAAAATTGTGTTCTTCAAAAATGTCAATGTCATAAAAGATACAGGAAGACTGTGGAAATGTACACAGGTTAAAGGACACTAAAAAGACATGACAACTAAATGCAATACCTGGTCCTAGACTGGATAGAGTACTGAAAAAAATAATTAGAAAAGGAAAAATTCAGCAGAGAAATTTGACCCTATATAGATGAAATAGCTTAACCTACAAGAAATATTTATAGATGCTTTACAGATGTGATTAAAAGGTCCTAAAGAGAATTCAACCAGATTCAACATAATCAAAGCACTGCTTCACAGCAGTAATAAATGAAACTATTAACAAATAATCTAATTCAGTCAAAACCACCAACTAAAAATTTTATAAAATTTTCCTCCAATTCCATAAAATTTTAGCTAATAGTTGATCCACATCCATAAATGTTTTCCTTTCTCAAACCTAACTTGCAAAGTTACACACACACACAGCAACAGACTAAAATATAACATTACTGGAACCAATAAAAAGTCAAAAAATCTAAGAAATTCTGACATTTTACCATTATACCTGGAAGTTCACCCTTTGATTACTAAGTTAAATACACTTTTCAAAATACATAAATTCCATCATGAACATTCACCTTCAAAGTAAAAACTTAAAAAAAAACAACACAACAGACCCTACAGATCAGTATCTATGTTAAATATGATTGTTGTTAGTGGTCTTTATCACATTAAAATATTCAGCCCTAACCGGTTTGGCTCAGTGGATAGAGCGTCAGCCTACAGACTGAAGGGTCCCAGGTTTGATTCTGGTCAAGGGCATGTACCTTGGTTGCGGGCACATACTCAATAGGGGGTGTGCAGGAGGCAGCTGATGAGAGAATCGATGTTTCTAACTCTCTATCCCTCTCCCTTCCTCTCTGTAAAAAATTCAATAAAATATATTAAAAAAAAAAAAAGGGGGTCCCAGGCAAGTGGGAAAAATACACATTTACTAAAAAAAATATTCAACTTATGGAATATCCTAGTAGTTGGCAGTGAGGAGAGGCTCTGGATTCAGATTAGCTGAGTTCAATTTCTGGCTCCACAATTTAGCATCCTTGGGCAAAAGATGTCATTTCTCAGTGCCTCAGTTTTCTAATCTATAAAATGGTATAATCATCTCATAGATGAATATACACCTCATAGGATTATGATAACTAAACAGATGCTGTATTAGCACATGAAAAGTGCTCAATGTTAGCCATTATTTCTGTTTACACACACTTAAAAGTGTCATATTCTGATACCCATTAAGATGGCTTCTATGGAAAACAGTATGATAGTTCCTCAAAAATTAAAAAATATAGCTACCATATGATCCTGCAATGTTGATTTACAGGTGTAAAGTACATTATCACACTATTTCAAAAACAATGGTGTAGGTGCAGAGGAAAAAGAAAATCGTATTGACCTAAATATTTTCAAACACTGAATAAAGGCTAATAAATTAATCTAAATTCAGCAAATAGAAAAGAATGCACATATTTGTCAACAATTCAATTACAGAATGTAAACACACAAAAACCTCTACTAAATCTACCTGTTTCAAAATTCCTAAAATCTATTACTTTCCTTAAACCAAAATCTGATACCACATCCGCCCCCCCAAAATTAAAACATAATTAAATCTAAATATCAAAGTAAATTCACAACCAATGAAATTATGCAGGACAAAGATTCACAAATGTAACCTTAATAATTAGGAAACTAATTCTATCAGAATTCAATTATGAATAAGAATAGATAAAAACATTCAAAATAGGCAAGGCAGAATATGTAAAAAAAAATTTTCTCCAAACATAGCAAATCTACCTCCAATCTACAGAGAAATCTAAGCATAGATGGTTTGGTTACTTCACTAAGCAACTAATTTTCTTAAGTTGCAGACTTCACAAAGAGGAAGACTGCATCTGTCTCTGTCTACAACTATATGTAAAAGAGGACTTAATACTCATACTACTTTTTTAAACAGTTACCCCACAAAACAAAACATTCCTAGGTTTAATGTTGGTTTAGAAAACCAAATAACAAAAAATTATTTTTCCTTTCCCTTTTTTTGCTGTTTTTACAGAAGAATCCAATTTGATCATCCATTTGGACCTTAAACATCAGTTTAGAAATTCAAATATAAAATATGTTCATCAGTTTAAAGGTAAAAAAAAAAAAAAGCAGAATGTTGATTAATTTTTAAGGTAAGTGTCAGATATATAGCAGTTCATTATACTGTTCTCTCTAGTCTTGTATATTTTTTAAAGTTTATAATAATGTTAAATTTTAAAAACTTATTCAGGTGTATTGAGTGTTTTTAAAATCTTCTTTAATTCTAAAACAAATTTAGTAGAAAATACCAATTTACCAGCAAGTTATTTCTGAGTACACTAACTTGAAGGTGGACCTCAAATCACATCAAAAGTTTATCTATCAACAGATAGATGAGATGTAAAGCCGTATCTACTTGGAAGTTACTGAGGAAATAACTATAATGCAATTAAGTACAGGTCTTATTTTAATATGTTATATAGTCAGTGACTAATAAAAAAAATAAAATGTTATTCTTAGAATTGGAAGAGACAAATTTTTAGTTCAGTGGTTTGCACACTTTTCAAGGTAACTGGAGGAGAGGGCCAAAGACCAATCACCTTGTTTTATATACTGGTGATTGTTTACAAAATATAAGATTTTGTTTTAAAAAAGGACCTAGCTATTTTTTTAAAAAGTCTTAAAACCACTATTCCACTGCATCCACATTCTAGGTAATATAGTATCTAGAAAAGGTTACATAATTTATGTACTATCATTCAATTAATGGCAGGGTCAGGAATAGAATGCAGGACTCTTATTTGTTCAGTTCTCATTTAAAACAATGCATCACTTCAAATTTAAGTTACAATTAAGAATACAACTCTGTTTCAATGTTCTTGCCTGTAAAATAAGATTGGACAAGATCATCTCTAAGGCCATTTTCAGATCTAAAATTCTGAATGCCAAGTTTAAACAGAGGTCTGTGTTACGGTAAATGAATGTTCTGTTACTCTTCAAACATTTTCAAGGACTCCAGAGAAATACAAGTCAAATACGGAAAGCTAACAGTTACTCAGTCGTTACCTTTAGGGTGCTGAAACATTTCTGTAACTACACCCTCTTTTAATAGTTAATACTAGGACAGGAAACATTGTTTTCGAAGACTACTAAAATAATCATAGTGAAAGGCTGTCTTAGATATCTTTGGAAAGAATATCAGCCTATCGAAATATATAACTCACTGGATGTTCAAGTTACTGAATGCCTCAAAGAGAACCAAGTACATCACTCTGTTAAATTTAAAATAAGTTAAATCAAAGGAACATTAAGCCTAGCTGACACATAATGGTCACAAATAAAGTTTTAACTCCCACCTATTAAAGCCTGAAAGAGGTTGCTCTGAAATATGTTAATAACCCGTTCTATGGAACTTCTGAGCTGTCTGTCTTCAGTTTGGCTTAGTTTCGAACGATATTCTTCCAGAAGTTGCAATGCTCTCTGGGTATCTGAGGGAAAAAAGAGAGTCTGATTAAAATTATTTTACAAGGAAGTATTACACAGTAGCTGTGCAGCAAATGATTCTGCAAGGCATCTATACAGTTCCCAAATCCTCCTGGTCAACTGATGCTACCATGTTCATGCACACCTCTATTCCTTAGAATGATTCAAAAAAATTTAAATATATGTCACAGTAGAGAAAGGAGGAAGGTACGTGGTTTTAATAAATGTGTACTGGTAGTCTACCATAATAAAAGATCATTTTAATCAAAGTATTGGTAACAGTTGCAGCTGATCTGATATGCAAAAGCAGATAATCTACAATTTGTCATTATAACCCAAATATTAACTGTTTCAAAATAATAGTTTTTTGCCAGTATCCCACACTGCTCAAAATAGTGTTTAGTAAGAATGATATCGTGAAACATGAAAACACCAATTCTGAGTTTTTAAGACGACGTTCCGAGGTAAAATATCCATTGCCCCTCTAGTTTCTAGAGAGAGATCAAGAAAGTTTGACACACATATGGATGTGTCCATCTTCTGAATGATGTGAGGCTTAGATCCCCTAAGCAGGGAGGATAGGACTGTGCTGTCTCCTTAGAGTTAAATACTAATAAAACACAGCAATTAGAAAACACACATACAGAAAAGCCAGTGCCGTCCACGGGAACAGTGCCATAACCAATCCTCACCTTGCTTCCGGACCGGCATTTTCCCCCAGAATCAGGAAGAGGGCACACACCTGTAAAACAGAAATCGGAAAAGAAACAGAACTAAAGAAGAGAAGAGAATCGTGGTGAACCTGGCACTCCCCCCCGCCCCCTACATCTCACATCGGAAAAACTCCGGGCCCCACCTGCCCAACCCACCTGGGCAAAGTTTTCCCCAGTGAAAGGCAGAGCCTGGAACCCCAGCGGTGCCAGGCAGGCTGGCGAGCTTTCACCTGGGGGGCGACCCCTCTGCCCACGGAGCGCGGACCCACGGCGGCTCCCCAATCCTCCTCGAAAGCTGCCCCCTCTCCGGCCGGCACCGAAAGCCTAGACGGGAGGCCACCCCTCCCCCGGCACC